AATAATTGTTTTGAAATATGTATATTTATACAAAATAAAGATTATACATGCATGTAATAACTAAAAAAATGAAAATTAAAAGTACATACATAAAACCACCCAAAATCAAATTAAATAAAATTACAAGTACAGGTAACCCCCATATAACATGGGAGTTACATTCTAAAAAATTGCCATGTTATGCGAATCCGTGTTATACGAAACAAAGAACTAGTGTGAAAAAAGTGGTTAGGTTCCTAAAATTAAAAAATATGCTGTTAAATCCTTATTTAAATCAGATTTATTATTCATTTTTTTCATAGGTAAAATATTTATTATTTAAGTAAATATTTTACCAGAGGATTATTCATCCTATATGATGATCTCAGCATGAGCGTCATCAACTGGTAACAGTTTTTGGGTGCATTCGTTTAAATAGCGGTTGCTCTGCAACGGGAGTGCGCTGCTGTTTGTAGGCATTTAGGAATGACGGTGAAAGAAAGATGGCGGCTTTTGCACTATTGATAGTATCGTGATGGAGGAATCTATAATTCTAAAGTGAGCTTTTAGAGGCAAAAGAAGGGTCCCAATTATAAAATTTAATCATTAAATGGATTATTTGTTGAAAGAGCATTCAAAGTAGCCACGAAAACAATTAGAATGCTCGCGCAGGGGTATAAAAGAACACACCCTTTATTACATTTCATGTTGTACAAGGGTTTTACCCAATTTCCGAACTGTGTTAGAGTGAATCCATGCTATAAAAGCGTCGTGTTATACGGGGATGTTCCCAATTCTCGAATTGTGTTAGAGTGAATCTGTGCTATAGAAGTGCCATGTTATACGGGGGTTACCCGTACATACTAGCAGACCTGGCCATGTGTTGCTGTGCCTCAAAATGTATCTATTAAAAATGTATTATACTTCCCCTGTGGGGGAATTTCGAAAAATCCCTTTTTAGTATACATTTTCTTGATATACCCTATTAAAACAATCAAAAATGCAAAAAACTTTATCTAAAATAGTATAATACAAGCCCAATTCTTTACAGTAAGCCTTAATCTTGTCCCTCTCCCCCGTGGGGGAGAATTTCAACATCTAAATTATATAAAAACATGCACAAATTCGAATGCAGCGTTGTGTCAAAATTTCAAAGCACTCGGTGAAGAACTTTCGGAGATTTAAGATTTTGAACAAGCAAACATTACATTTTTATTTATATAGATTAATTCCTCTTTAAACATCAAATTACCTTAAAATTAATTCTAATATTTTTCTGATTAAAATGTATGCGGTCGTATCTCTGCTCTTAGCACGTAGTTGGATTGTGAGAAAATGTCGTTAAGAGAGCGTATCTCTTGTAAGTTTAATGTCTCAAACCAAAGTTTTGTTCTCAGAAATGTCTCTTGAACTATATGGCAATAGTCAACAAAAAAATATGGAATTGTAAATATGATTTAATTAATTTTTAAACTTTTATATCTAAATATTTCATAATTTTCTAGGTGAAAAATATTTGTTTAAGAAAAACTAAGACACACTAGTACAAAGTTAAAATTGTGCATGGCTCCATCTTTTATGAGATTTCATTAAAAAAATAACTTTTTATATTATTAACTCACTGGGGGAGGGAATTTTGACATATATATTATATAAAAGCATGCCCATATTCAAATGGAATGTTGTGTGAAAATTTCAAAGCAATTGGTGAAGAACTTTCGGAGATTAGTTATTAGGAACAAACAGACATTACATCTTTATTTATATAGATTAGTTTGAAACTAGTCAAAATGGATGACTTGAGCCACTTTCCAAATAAACAGCTTATATATAAAACAAGTCGCAGATTGTGCATGTGTGCACGCAGACACAAATTTAATTTTATAGATAATAGTTGAAAATAGGATTATATAAGAATTATTGTCTGTAATTTAACTTTGTCAGACTAATTAATTTCTTATATTTTTATCCACTGATGTATGGAAAGTAACTTTAATCATCAAAATATATGTATTAATTTTTTAGTGCTTTATTTAACACTGGACAGCAATGGGAAAGTAATTACACATAATTTGTTTTGAAGTATTTGTTTAGAAAGTATTAATAAAACTTTTAGTGAAGTTTCTAAATGAGTTTTAAATGTGATGTCTTATCATTACAACAAATGTAACAACAAACGTTATGTTTATCTTATACATTAATTTTCTCAAATATTGACTTGGTTAATAATAACATTTTATATCATATCTTCATCATTAAATGAGTATTTTTCTATTCTCACTTCCTCAGCCGTATCTTTACAAATATAAACAAAACACCAAACTCTTGCTGAGCTTATTATTACTTTAATTTCAAACGTTTTCAGCCCAATTTCAGTAGGCCATCTTCAAGAACTATTCGAATACAACTTTCGAATAACTTTTAAATTTAAACTTTTAACATAAACTGTAACTATTAACTATTTAACATATTTTTAAATATCACCGTAAACCATTAAATATTTAACTAAAAAATTTTTAACATATTATATGATAAACATAAATAATATAAAATAATAAAAATATATATAAAAAATATATAAAAAATAAAGCTTACTATAACAAAAATATACATTAAACCAGTACTACACAACTGCCATAATTTTACGGGTTTTTAATCCCCATTTCCTTTTCTATTATGTACTTCCATGCCGTTGGAAGAGCATTAGCATCCTTGGCGTTTAGACACTTGCTATTTATCTTACTCTTATAAATCTCCATTTTTTCTATGCCAAAGGCAATAGTCGGAGAATGGACCGGTTTAACAATTCGTGCCTCATCCCATTTAACACTTGCACCATCTGTTTGCGCCATGATTGCCAAGATAGTGTTGTTGTTCCNAAGATGGCGGCTTTTGCACTATTGATAGTATCGTGATGGAGGAATCTATAATTCTAAAGTGAGCTTTTAGAGGCAAAAGAAGGGTCCCAATTATAAAATTTAATCATTAAATGGATTATTTGTTGAAAGAGCATTCAAAGTAGCCACGAAAACAATTAGAATGCTCGCGCAGGGGTATAAAAGAACACACCCTTTATTACATTTCATGTTGTACAAGGGTTTTACCCAATTTCCGAACTGTGTTAGAGTGAATCCATGCTATAAAAGCGTCGTGTTATACGGGGATGTTCCCAATTCTCGAATTGTGTTAGAGTGAATCTGTGCTATAGAAGTGCCGTGTTATACGGGGGTTACCCGTACATACTAGCAGACCTGGCCATGTGTTGCTGTGCCTCAAAATGTATCTATTAAAAATGTATTATACTTCCCCTGTGGGGGAATTTCGAAAAATCCCTTTTTAGTATACATTTTCTTGATATACCCTATTAAAACAATCAAAAATGCAAAAAACTTTATCTAAAATAGTATAATACAAGCCCAATTCTTTACAGTAAGCCTTAATCTTGTCCCTCTCCCCCGTGGGGGAGAATTTCAACATCTAAATTATATAAAAACATGCACAAATTCGAATGCAGCGTTGTGTCAAAATTTCAAAGCACTCGGTGAAGAACTTTCGGAGATTTAAGATTTTGAACAAGCAAACATTACATTTTTATTTATATAGATTAATTCCTCTTTAAACATCAAATTACCTTAAAATTAATTCTAATATTTTTCTGATTAAAATGTATGCGGTCGTATCTCTGCTCTTAGCACGTAGTTGGATTGTGAGAAAATGTCGTTAAGAGAGCGTATCTCTTGTAAGTTTAATGTCTCAAACCAAAGTTTTGTTCTCAGAAATGTCTCTTGAACTATATGGCAATAGTCAACAAAAAAATATGGAATTGTAAATATGATTTAATTAATTTTTAAACTTTTATATCTAAATATTTCATAATTTTCTAGGTGAAAAATATTTGTTTAAGAAAAACTAAGACACACTAGTACAAAGTTAAAATTGTGCATGGCTCCATCTTTTATGAGATTTCATTAAAAAAATAACTTTTTATATTATTAACTCACTGGGGGAGGGAATTTTGACATATATATTATATAAAAGCATGCCCATATTCAAATGGAATGTTGTGTGAAAATTTCAAAGCAATTGGTGAAGAACTTTCGGAGATTAGTTATTAGGAACAAACAGACATTACATCTTTATTTATATAGATTAGTTTGAAACTAGTCAAAATGGATGACTTGAGCCACTTTCCAAATAAACAGCTTATATATAAAACAAGTCGCAGATTGTGCATGTGTGCACGCAGACACAAATTTAATTTTATAGATAATAGTTGAAAATAGGATTATATAAGAATTATTGTCTGTAATTTAACTTTGTCAGACTAATTAATTTCTTATATTTTTATCCACTGATGTATGGAAAGTAACTTTAATCATCAAAATATATGTATTAATTTTTTAGTGCTTTATTTAACACTGGACAGCAATGGGAAAGTAATTACACATAATTTGTTTTGAAGTATTTGTTTAGAAAGTATTAATAAAACTTTTAGTGAAGTTTCTAAATGAGTTTTAAATGTGATGTCTTATCATTACAACAAATGTAACAACAAACGTTATGTTTATCTTATACATTAATTTTCTCAAATATTGACTTGGTTAATAATAACATTTTATATCATATCTTCATCATTAAATGAGTATTTTTCTATTCTCACTTCCTCAGCCGTATCTTTACAAATATAAACAAAACACCAAACTCTTGCTGAGCTTATTATTACTTTAATTTCAAACGTTTTCAGCCCAATTTCAGTAGGCCATCTTCAAGAACTATTCGAATACAACTTTCGAATAACTTTTAAATTTAAACTTTTAACATAAACTGTAACTATTAACTATTTAACATATTTTTAAATATCACCGTAAACCATTAAATATTTAACTAAAAAATTTTTAACATATTATATGATAAACATAAATAATATAAAATAATAAAAATATATATAAAAAATATATAAAAAATAAAGCTTACTATAACAAAAATATACATTAAACCAGTACTACACAACTGCCATAATTTTACGGGTTTTTAATCCCCATTTCCTTTTCTATTATGTACTTCCATGCCGTTGGAAGAGCATTAGCATCCTTGGCGTTTAGACACTTGCTATTTATCTTACTCTTATAAATCTCCATTTTTTCTATGCCAAAGGCAATAGTCGGAGAATGGACCGGTTTAACAATTCGTGCCTCATCCCATTTAACACTTGCACCATCTGTTTGCGCCATGATTGCCAAGATAGTGTTGTTGTTCCCTTTACTAACATCATACATATGCTCCTTTAAACGAACTGCCAGGTTCCTTGTGGTTACGCCCACATAATCTTTTTCTACTCCTAATTGTTGATTTTCAAAAGGAATTCTATAAACCCCAGCTTTTTCCTTCATTCCTATCTTGTCCTTATCATTCCTTAGTAACTTGTAGATGTTCGGCGCTCTTTTATAAATAGATCTTGTGCTCTTATATTTACACAACTCTTCCATTATTCCTTCTACATTCCTGTTGTATGTAAATTTATTAAACCTATCTTTTGGCTTATTCCGTTTGTTTGTCCCTTGCTTGTAACCTTTGACCAAACCATTAATTGTAGATGTTTTGTATCCTAAACCTTTTGCAATATTCTTGATTCTGTTAATCTCGCTAATTCTATCTTGTACATTGGTGCAATATAAGAATGCTCTTTTAATAAGCGACCTAAACGAAGACATTTTGTATTTAATCGGATCATTAGACCATGCCGGGATATATAGTGGAGCATGTGTGGGTTTTAGATACACTGCCGTTTGTACATATCCTTGTTTGAATCTTATGTTAATATCTAAAAAATGGATATTTGTATGGCTTTTTTGTTCAAGCTTTAGTTTTAACCCATGCTTATTGTTATTTATCATACTTAAAAATTCCTCAATTCTTCGGTTATCCTTCCAAATTATCAACACGTCATCTACATATCTTTTGTATATTACAATGTCCTCCATGAATTTTCCTAGGACCTCCTTTTCTAGTTGACGTACCACTAATTCGCACAAGAGTCCCGACATGGGACTACCCATTGGGACTCCTTTTCTTTGTTTGTACACCGTCCCATTGAACGTAAAAAAGGACTGATAACACATCAAATCCGCCAATATATTTAAGTCCTCCATATACGCTGTTAATCCTGGATTATGCTGTACCATAAATTCAACAAGAGTATTGAAACAAGATGTTAAATTCATGGAAGGGTACATGCTTTCAAAATCCATAACCGTTCCTATTTCATCATTCATCAACGCCAAACCTTGTAATTCTTTTACCAACTTATTTGGATCCTGCGTCACATACACACTATCTTCCAAACTTTCATATATATACTTTTTTAATCTTTTCTCTAGTATAAAGGTTGGTGCACCGCATTTTTCAACCACCGGTCTAATTTCTTTGTTTTGCTTGTGCGTTTTTGCGAACGCAAAGATTCTGGGTAATCGGGGGCATGGGTTATGTGACTTTTTTAATAACGTCATGTACTTCGCGAGTGGCGTTTTTTCTAGCTTTTTAATCTTGTTGTTCGTTACTGTTACTATCTTTTCGTCTACGATATCACATTCCGTTTTCTTAATATAATCTTTAATGGCTTCATTATATCTTCCTCTTTTCATAATCACCATTTGTTTAGTTTTGTCAGCTTTTGTTAACACCAACTGATTTTTTGTTAGCCAATCTTTTGTATATTTTATATTTAACTTTTCTCTACAAAGCACCTCGTGTCTTTCCTTTTTTCTGAAAACCATCTTCCATCTAAAATAATCTCTTTCTACTTCATTAAGACCGGCCATACCTCTTTCCATTTCAGCCATTGTAGTTTCCCAATCGTTCTTGTTATTTGGAACGTAACTGGGTCCATTCTTTAACACCATCTCCACATTTTTTGGTACCTTAATCTGGTCCCATAGAATATAAGGTGGTACATTGCTTTTTCGCTCCATGGGAGTTTGTTGCTTTAAAATCCACCTTATTTTTTTGAAATATTTCTTTTCAAGGGTATTTGTTACCCTGTCCGTTAGTCTTACTACCTTATCATTGATTTCTTTTAACAATTGCGGATCTTTTTGATATATTGTATCTTCCAACTCAATACACTCCTTTAAAATTCTATATCTTTTGTTTTTTACAAGCTTAATAGATTTACGTAAACATGTCTCTTGGAATCTTCTTTTTAACATATAGCATTCTACCGGGATGCTAATCCTATGTATGGACATTGGAAATACTTTCTTTTCAGCACATTCCTTAAGGAAATTCAACTTGCAGTTAGTCTTAACCAGCTTCAAAGCAATCTTTCTATATACCTTATAATAACTGGCCGGTGCCGCCATTGCAACTATTATGGCAGTTTTGTAGTACTGCCATAATAGTTGGGCAGTACAAATTATGGCAGTTGTGTAGTACTGGTTTAATGTATATTTTTGTTATAGTAAGCTTTATATTTTTTATATATATTTTTATTATTTTATATTATTTATGTTTATCATATAATATGTTAAAAATTTTTTAGTTAAATATTTAATGGTTTACGGTGATATTTACAAATATGTTAAATAGTTAATAGTTACAGTTTATGTTAAATGTTTAAATTTAAAAGTTATTCGAAAGTTGTATTCGAATAGTTCTTGAAGATGGCCTATTGAAATTGGGCTGAAAACGTTTGAAATTAAAGTAATAATAAGCTCAGCAAGAGTATGGTGTTTTGTTTATATTTGTAAAGATACGGCTGAGGAAGTGAGAATAGTTGCAATGGCGGCACCGGCCAGTTATTATAAGGTATATAGAAAGATTGCTTTGAAGCTGGTTAAGACTAACTGCAAGTTGAATTTCCTTAAGGAATGTGCTGAAAAGAAAGTATTTCCAATGTCCATACATAGGATTAGCATCCCGGTAGAATGCTATATGTTAAAAAGAAGATTCCAAGAGACATGTTTACGTAAATCTATTAAGCTTGTAAAAAACAAAAGATATAGAATTTTAAAGGAGTGTATTGAGTTGGAAGATACAATATATCAAAAAGATCCGCAATTGTTAAAAGAAATCAATGATAAGGTAGTAAGACTAACGGACAGGGTAACAAATACCCTTGAAAAGAAATATTTCAAAAAAATAAGGTGGATTTTAAAGCAACAAACTCCCATGGAGCGAAAAAGCAATGTACCACCTTATATTCTATGGGACCAGATTAAGGTACCAAAAAATGTGGAGATGGTGTTAAAGAATGGACCCAGTTACGTTCCAAATAACAAGAACGATTGGGAAACTACAATGGCTGAAATGGAAAGAGGTATGGCCGGTCTTAATGAAGTAGAAAGAGATTATTTTAGATGGAAGATGGTTTTCAGAAAAAAGGAAAGACACGAGGTGCTTTGTAGAGAAAAGTTAAATATAAAATATACAAAAGATTGGCTAACAAAAAATCAGTTGGTGTTAACAAAAGCTGACAAAACTAAACAAATGGTGATTATGAAAAGAGGAAGATATAATGAAGCCATTAAAGATTATATTAAGAAAACGGAATGTGATATCGTAGACGAAAAGATAGTAACAGTAACGAACAACAAGATTAAAAAGCTAGAAAAAACGCCACTCGCGAAGTACATGACGTTATTAAAAAAGTCACATAACCCATGCCCCCGATTACCCAGAATCTTTGCGTTCGCAAAAACGCACAAGCAAAACAAAGAAATTAGACCGGTGGTTGAAAAATGCGGTGCACCAACCTTTATACTAGAGAAAAGATTAAAAAAGTATATATATGAAAGTTTGGAAGATAGTGTGTATGTGACGCAGGATCCAAATAAGTTGGTAAAAGAATTACAAGGTTTGGCGTTGATGAATGATGAAATAGGAACGGTTATGGATTTTGAAAGCATGTACCCTTCCATGAATTTAACATCTTGTTTCAATACTCTTGTTGAATTTATGGTACAGCATAATCCAGGATTAACAGCGTATATGGAGGACTTAAATATATTGGCGGATTTGATGTGTTATCAGTCCTTTTTTACGTTCAATGGGACGGTGTACAAACAAAGAAAAGGAGTCCCAATGGGTAGTCCCATGTCGGGACTCTTGTGCGAATTAGTGGTACGTCAACTAGAAAAGGAGGTCCTAGGAAAATTCATGGAGGACATTGTAATATACAAAAGATATGTAGATGACGTGTTGATAATTTGGAAGGATAACCGAAGAATTGAGGAATTTTTAAGTATGATAAATAACAATAAGCATGGGTTAAAACTAAAGCTTGAACAAAAAAGCCATACAAATATCCATTTTTTAGATATTAACATAAGATTCAAACAAGGATATGTACAAACGGCAGTGTATCTAAAACCCACACATGCTCCACTATATATCCCGGCATGGTCTAATGATCCGATTAAATACAAAATGTCTTCGTTTAGGTCGCTTATTAAAAGAGCATTCTTATATTGCACCAATGTACAAGATAGAATTAGCGAGATTAACAGAATCAAGAATATTGCAAAAGGTTTAGGATACAAAACATCTACAATTAATGGTTTGGTCAAAGGTTACAAGCAAGGGACAAACAAACGGAATAAGCCAAAAGATAGGTTTAATAAATTTACGTACAACAGGAATGTAGAAGGAATAATGGAAGAGTTGTGTAAATATAAGAGCACAAGATCTATTTATAAAAGAGCGCCGAACATCTACAAGTTACTAAGGAATGATAAGGACAAGATAGGAATGAAGGAAAAAGCTGGGGTTTATAGAATTCCTTTTGAAAATCAACAATTAGGAGTAGAAAAAGATTATGTGGGCGTAACCACAAGGAACCTGGCAGTTCGTTTAAAGGAGCATATGTATGATGTTAGTAAAGGGAACAACAACACTATCTTGGCAATCATGGCGCAAACAGATGGTGCAAGTGTTAAATGGGATGAGGCACGAATTGTTAAACCGGTCCATTCTCCGACTATTGCCTTTGGCATAGAAAAAATGGAGATTTATAAGAGTAAGATAAATAGCAAGTGTCTAAACGCCAAGGATGCTAATGCTCTTCCAACGGCATGGAAGTACATAATAGAAAAGGAAATGGGGATTAAAAACCCGTAAAATTATGGCAGTTGTGTAGTACTGGTTTAATGTATATTTTTGTTATAGTAAGCTTTATTTTTTATATATTTTTTATATATATTTTTATTATTTTATATTATTTATGTTTATCATATAATATGTTAAAAATTTTTTAGTTAAATATTTAATGGTTTACGGTGATATTTAAAAATATGTTAAATAGTTAATAGTTACAGTTTATGTTAAAAGTTTAAATTTAAAAGTTATTCGAAAGTTGTATTCGAATAGTTCTTGAAGATGGCCTATTGAAATTGGGCTGAAAACGTTTGAAATTAAAGTAATAATAAGCTCAGCAAGAGTTTGGTGTTTTGAGTATTTTTCAGTAAAGTGAGTCTTTTTTGAAATGAGCTGTACATTGCAATCACAAAAATGACATGTTGAAGATATAGGCTAGTGATGGAATGTATAATGGAGAAGAGTAGATAGATACAGAATTAATGGATGATGGATTAAGATGTTATGTTGAAATGGAAGAAAGGATTATCCAAAAAGATAGGATAACAGAACTTTATAAAACTTATATAGTTCTGTATGGTTTAGTTCTTGGAAAGGGCCTTGAAACTTGGATGTAGTAAATAACAAGAAAAAAGTATATGAATAAATAAATTGAAGGTTGAATTATAAATAAGAAGTTTGAGATTCTGTGTTCTATGAGACAATGATTACTTCTCAATAATATTTGGAAGAGTTTAGAAGCAGTTAAGCATTTCTTTTAGATATAAGAGAGGTTGAGGCACACGTTTTAAACGTGTAAACGTGTACGTGTGACGTTCGGCGCCGCTTTCCCGTAAGCCTAATAGTTTGACGGTTTTGTTTGGAATGTCGAGCGTGATTCCACCGACTATCCAAACACCATTGTCAAACTTTTAGGCTTACGGGAAAGCGGCGCCGAACGTCACACGTACACGTTTACACGTTTAAAACGTGTGCCTCAACCTCTCTTATATCTAAAAGAAATGCTTAACTGCTTCTAAACTCTTCCAAATATTATTGAGAAGTAATCATTGTCTCATAGAACACAGAATCTCAAACTTCTTATTTATAATTCAACCTTCAATTTATTTATTCATATACTTTTTTCTTGTTATTTACTACATCCAAGTTTCAAGGCCCTTTCCAAGAACTAAACCATACAGAACTATATAAGTTTTATAAAGTTCTGTTATCCTATCTTTTTGGATAATCCTTTCTTCCATTTCAACATAACATCTTAATCCATCATCCATTAATTCTGTATCTATCTACTCTTCTCCATTATACATTCCATCACTAGCCTATATCTTCAACATGTCATTTTTGTGATTGCAATGTACAGCTCATTTCAAAAAAGACTCACTTTACTGAAAAATACTCAAAACACCAAACTCTTGCTGAGCTTATTATTACTTTAATTTCAAACGTTTTCAGCCCAATTTCAATAGGCCATCTTCAAGAACTATTCGAATACAACTTTCGAATAACTTTTAAATTTAAACTTTTAACATAAACTGTAACTATTAACTATTTAACATATTTTTAAATATCACCGTAAACCATTAAATATTTAACTAAAAAATTTTTAACATATTATATGATAAACATAAATAATATAAAATAATAAAAATATATATAAAAAATATATAAAAAATAAAGCTTACTATAACAAAAATATACATTAAACCAGTACTACACAACTGCCATAATTTTACGGGTTTTTAATCCCCATTTCCTTTTCTATTATGTACTTCCATGCCGTTGGAAGAGCATTAGCATCCTTGGCGTTTAGACACTTGCTATTTATCTTACTCTTATAAATCTCCATTTTTTCTATGCCAAAGGCAATAGTCGGAGAATGGACCGGTTTAACAATTCGTGCCTCATCCCATTTAACACTTGCACCATCTGTTTGCGCCATGATTGCCAAGATAGTGTTGTTGTTCCCTTTACTAACATCATACATATGCTCCTTTAAACGAACTGCCAGGTTCCTTGTGGTTACGCCCACATAATCTTTTTCTACTCCTAATTGTTGATTTTCAAAAGGAATTCTATAAACCCCAGCTTTTTCCTTCATTCCTATCTTGTCCTTATCATTCCTTAGTAACTTGTAGATGTTCGGCGCTCTTTTATAAATAGATCTTGTGCTCTTATATTTACACAACTCTTCCATTATTCCTTCTACATTCCTGTTGTACGTAAATTTATTAAACCTATCTTTTGGCTTATTCCGTTTGTTTGTCCCTTG